GAACCTGGCAGGTGCTGGGAATACTGAAGTCTAGAAGACCACTGCCAGGAATATTATAAATAAATTATGTCTTGGTTGCAGTTGTAAAATCAAGTAACTAGCATTTACCAGCCTTGCAGAGGGCACTTACAAAATATGTATTTAATGACAATTTTCTGATTTGGGCTAAATATTGTGTCCTCTATACCTGACGTTTATTCTAAATCTAGTGTTCTGTATTAAATCTTAATCTAATCTATATACAAATGTGCTCTATATCAAAATTTAAAGTTCTGTATCTTAAAAGTTACCTTTTTATCTTTTGGGAAACTAAATGGTGTTAGAGAGAGAGGTTGGTGATTTAAAGCTTTCACACCTGGATTCAAATCCCACTACACTGCTTTTGTGTTGCATAACTGTGGGCAAGTTATTAAGTTGACTGAGCTTTAAAACTTAGGTCTATCAAATGGACAGGAAAATACTTTCTTCCTGAGGCAGTTATAAAGATTAAATAAACTCATATGGCATATACTCTGAACTAAAAAAATGATCTTCTCTCTACATCAATCAGAAAATCTTAGGTTATCAGCCTTCTGCTTAAGTATAGTCGGGGCACAGCTATATGGTAAAGAATCGTTTTTAAAGAGAAGTGCAAAAATATTAATTAACATTTAATTGAGAGGAAGGTGTAACTCTAGTGGTGGAGCACATGCTTGGCATGCATGAGGACCTGGGTCCAATGTCCAGTACTTCCATTTAAAAAAAATTAACTAAATCTTGCTATGTTATATTTGGCAGTTGGCTCCTGAATTCTGTATTGCAGGTACAATTTATGAAATACATCTTGATAGTATAGTATATGCCCTATATGACACTGTTCACCTTTACAGCACTTTGAGAGAAATGATCTCTTCTTGTTCTGAGTACAAAAGGTCGAGGCATTCAACCTATTATCAGGGAGGCCGACTGAGAGTCCTCAGACAGTCAATTAGAGACTTCTTAAGTTCAGTCCAGCTGCTACAACAGGATACCATAGACTAGGTGGCTTATAAACAACAGAAATTTATTTCTCACAGTTTTGGA